TGAGATCTGTTTCTTCCTTCTCCAAATCTTACCCACAAAGCCCATGACATAAAATGCAACTAGTATATCTAATCTCAAATGCAATGTAGACATGTGGGAAGAAATTGATGTTGGCTATTGGGTCACTGTAATTCGTGAAAAGTTTTTGGAATACAAATTTTCCTGGCTTGACTTTAATTTTCACATTAGTGTAAAATTATCCATTCAGGTCAGGAAGAAAATATTTGGGGGACATGTAAGTTTTACTAACAAATTTAGATGAATTTGAGAAAGCTTTATACAGTAAAAGTTTTGTTTATAGAAACATTAACTGGAACTAGTAGGAATACTTCAAAAGATGAGATAAAAGAGATTCAGTACTTCCAGCACAGGTTTTGTTCCAATTATCCAGCTCTGAGATTATGGGTTCTATTTTATTGTCATAGGGGAGTACAATTTGAGGATTCTTTTTTGGAAATATCCTATGGCTTGGTGCTCAGAGGTGTCCCCATCAGTACATAGAAAGATCATGAAATTCTAGGGATTGTGGCATGTGAAGGGCGTTCCCTGCATGGAAAGCTCCTGCATCCGGTTTTGTGACATCCAAGGAAAGATGTCACAAAACAAAGGAAAGATGTCACAGAACCAAGCCTCAACACTGTGAGGATTTGTTTTGTTTAGTTTTGTTTTGTTTCACTGGGCTGCTCCTGGCAGTGCTTAGAAGCTACTCTGCTGCCTGATATTCAGGGTGCTGGGGGGTACCATTCAGTGCCAGGGATGGAGCCTGACTGGCCTACATGCATAGTCTTGCTCACCTTCTCAGATTTCTCTCCAGCCCATTGAGGAATTTTTCAAGAAGTATTCTGAAGCATTAAATAATGACAATGCTGATTTCTTTACCAACAGGCTATCATTGTGTGTAATTCACAAGCCCATGCTGGGACTCTCGTTGAGAGTTTTAACTATTTTTCATCATATCAGTTAAGTATTTCTCTTTCCTGTCTTTAGGTTCTCATTTTGTTAATTAACTTGTTGCTGTTTACTAAATGAGATAGAGGATTAGATCTTTTTTAAAATTATTATTATTACTTTGTGGCATAAGAAATGTTTTGATGAAAAATATGAATCATGATACCAGATATTTTCTTGTGCATATGCCTTTTGGGAAATAATATGGAACATAAATTTAAAAAGAAGACAGATTTCAGAGTGAACATCAAATCTTAAGGTGGTTTTAATGAAGGGCTTCTGCATTTAATGGCTACATTAATATACTTGCTCATATTAGCTATAACTAATAGGCCACAAAGAAGTCATGCATGGCTTTAGATATGCCTGTAGAAGAAATGTTGCCCTTTGTGCCTAATATAGCTCGTTAATTTTATAGCTTCCTAGAGTATAATAATTGCTCAAGGGTAGTCTAATTATAGCAGTATAAAGAAAAGATTTTTTTACAAAACATTGCTTGAATAATGTAGCAACAGATTTTTAAAACATTCCCCAGAAACTGAATTTTGAAAAGAATGGTTTTTGTTTTCTATATAGAACAATGTAAGATCACTGTAAATTTTGGTTTATCTTGAGTTATGCCTGGTATTTTCATGGATCTCTTTCAAGTTCAACAACAAAGGGAGTGTAACTGTTAATAACTATGTTCTGAGCTGCTAGATTGGAAATTATCTCTGTATTTGGATTTAATGTTAAGGTAAGTTTGTCATTGTATGAATTTGAAGCGTTAGTTGTTGAAGTAACTATTCCTTATATTTTATGACTTAAATGAATGTAACTGAAACCATTGACATTCATTCTAAGTTTCCTTGTTACTGTGATTTTTTTCCCCTGTATTTGGCATTCAAGAAATACTTTTAATGGGCATAGCATAGGAAAATAAATTTTGCCTTATCTACTTGTGGACTTGTGGATTCCCTTTTTGTCTTAAGATTTAGCTATCAAAACATAAAGGGTTTTAGTTATATAATTCATATATAACTAAAAAATGAAATAGCTTTTATTTTCTCAAGATACATAATAGTATTTATTTTATGAAAACCCCTAAATTTATCACTTCAAACATTTTGCACTATCAATCCTCAAGCTAAATTTTGTATCTTTTTAGAAACAATTTTAATTTTGTTTAAGAGTGTGTATGTATAGTGCCAGAGTATGAGTCCAGGGCCTCACCTATGCAAGGGAAGTGCTGTACCAGTGAGCTGCATTCCTAAGCTTTATATTTTGCATCTGTTATATTTATCTTATCATCTACATTTATTTTAGGCATTATAGGACAATAGCTATTGCAAAGAAAATACTATTATAACTTTACCTTGACTAAATATTTGATAACTTCTTATTTGTGTAATATAAAGTATGTACATGCAGTATCATAATATCTGTGGTATAGTGAAGTAAATTACAGAACTTGAGTTAAAAGAATTATAGAACTTGAGCTGAATTATAGAACTTGAGTTGAAAAGATCAGTTTTAACTGATAAGAACAGATACTGCACTTGATCTTAGCAAAAAGGCTGAGAAGTGATCTTTTGGTCACTTTTTAAATGATCTCACCATTTTTTAAAAAAATGTGTTGAATAGTGATAACTAATAAAAGCAGACTTTGCAAACATCAGCAGCTATGCAAGGCCTTCTGATTTACAATTGGGAGACGGGTGACTTATTCTGGAAAATGTTCTTGGCAAATATTTCAGAAGCTGACAATCTGAAGCTGAACAATTAGTGTAAATAATTGCTCAAGTTACTGATAATTTAAAAAAAAATGTAGAGGCTGCGAGGAATTGCTGTGAAAGGTATTAGTACAAGTCTGATTGAGTAGCACTGTAGCACTGTCCTCCTGTTGTTCATCGATTTCTCTAGTGGGCCCAGTAACGTCTCCATTGTGAGACTTGTTATTGTGTTTGGCATATTGAATACGTCACGGGTGACTTGCCAGGCTTTGCCTTGCGGGTGAAATACTCTCAGTAGCTGGCCAGGCTCTCTGAGAGGGGCGAGGAATTGAACCCGGCTGTGCCGGGCCAGCGGCTTGCAAGGCAAGCGCCCTACCTGCTGTGCTCCAGCCCCTGATTGAGTAACAAGAAGAAAAAAGAAGGTATTATAAAGAGATGGCAATAAAGAAAGCAGGATAATACATCTCAGACTGTCTCTTAATATATACATATTTTATTCTTTGTTCATTTTCCTGGGTTTCTTATAATTCTATCAGTTTTAGAGATTATCCTTTTAGAAGACCCTTCATTTATTCATTTATTCATAAACCTGACAGTTTGATGAATATGACGGGTTGATATGACTGTCATGATGAGCAAGAAGAAATATATTCATTTTTGAACAAGTATGCCGTGCACTTTCACTTAAATTATTTCAAAGACAGTGTATAATCAACTCTTGAGAATTAACGGTTCTACTACTTATTCTTTAATTGTGTTGATTTTAACATCTCCATCCATGCTAGCAGCAAAAGAAAGACTGTAAGTTCATATTATTTAGAATTGAGGACTGTGGGAAAGTAAATTTAGGAGCTCAACAAATTTTGGATTTTGGGGCCAAAGAGGTAGTACAGCGGATAGGGCATTTTTGCCTTGTACATGGCCAACCTGGGTTTGATCCCCGGCATCCCATATAGTCCCCCAAGCACCACCAGGTGTGGTTCCTGAGAGCAGAGCCAGGAGTAAGTAACCCCTGAGCATCGTTGGGTGTGGCCCAAAAAGCAAAAAAAAAAAAAATTTTGGATTTCCTGTGGATTTCACTTACAAGGTAACTGATCTTGTAGAATGATGTGTTGTGACCTCTTTAGATAAAGAAGTACCAGTAACAGAAATTCAGAGATAACTCTTTTGTTCACAGACTAACACCTAACATTAAAGTAAGTGTTATTGGGGACAGTGAGAAAGATAGTCAGAGATGGAGTAAGACACTTGCCTCACACTTCTTTGATTCCAGTGTGATACCAAGCACCACTTAAGGTTTCCTGAGCTCCATTGAGTTTGTCCCTAAAACTTACATAAGAGGCTGTCATTTTAAGTTGTGATATTATTTGCATTTATTTTTGAGGATCTTTATTTGGTCAGAAATCATTTTTGAGATTATTTTTTCTCTTCAGAAATCATTCTTTTTAATAGAAATGGGTTGCAATACTCTCCAGAGTTTAACATTAAAGATAAGCTAATCTTTTTAGTAGAAATGAGTTGAACATTAAAGATATTTACAACTTCAGAAACTTTTGGGGGGGTCTAAAAATAAATGTAATGAAAACTCTTATTGTGTTAATGCCATATTTGTATTCTGGTCTACTTAATTATATGATTACAAGAATGCAGGACATGAGTAGCAAAAAAAGGAGTAAAATTGCTTACATTTAATGAAACAGATGAGATATATAAAATGATCATGCATAACACCGCTCTCTCGGTAGCTGGAGCTATAGTACAGCAGGTAGGGCATTACCCTTGGACATGGCAAACCTGGGCTCAATCCTGGCACCCCATATGATTCCTCAGGCACTGGCAGGAGTGATCCTTGTGGGCAGAGCCAAAAGTAAACCCTGAGCCCAGCCTGTGTGGCCCCAAGACAAAACAAAATAAAAAAGCTATCCCACTGAAAAAATTTCTTTTTCTTACCTGGATTACAATTGAGAAGCTACCTATTTCCATGCTTAAGGTATTTCTGGTGATGAGAAGCATTGTTGATATAAAATCATGTGCATGTGCTATTAGAAAGATGTCTTAAGAAGTGTTGGTTTAAAATAAAACAGAGAGCCGAAGAGTTAATACAGTGGTTAGGGTATTTGCCTTTCATGCAGCTGACTTGGTTTTGATCCCAGGCACTTATATGCTCCCCTGTGCCCAGCCAGGAGTGATCTCTGATTACAGAGATGGAATAAGCCCTGAACACCACTGAGTATGACTCCAAATACAAAGCCAAAAATAGAACAGTTTCCTGAAGTCATTATACTTTTTACTTTATTTTAATAGATATTTTCTTTGCCATTTTTTTTGTGCTTCTTTCAGAGTGAGTGAGGAAAAGGAAGTGACAGAAGAACGACTCAAAGCTGAACAGGAATCATTTGAGAAGAAGATAAGGCAGTTGGAAGAACAGAATGAACTGATCATCAAAGAAAGGGAAGATATCCTTTTTAAAAAAAAGTCCTCTTTTGTAACATACAGAAAGTTTTACTCTGAGATGTAAACTTCAGAGAAATAATTTTTCTAATTTATAACGGAATAAATCTGCATGGGCTTCCATTTTGTAGGCAATCAAAACAACATGAAACAGCATGTGCTATTGCTTCCTTTGTGCTTGATACAGCCACCCAGCTGTTCTGCTGCTATTATACTGCAGATCCTATATTTGTCAACTAAAAAAGACAGAAATTTGAGCTTTAATGATATAGTGTTGGAACTTTATTAAACTCTGTTCTACTACTTTAGTTCAGCTGAAAACTCTTTGTATTTTTTTAAGTAAGTGCCTTCCTAGCAGTGTTTAGGGGTGCATGCACTCCAGGCCTGACTGGGGTAGGTGCTAGGGAGCTGAAGGTTTAGTACTCAGTCTGATAATGGTGTATAAGGTATACCATATGCCCCTCTGAATTATCTCAGATACTACCCTGGCACTACTATCTGAATTCTTTCTAACTAAAATTTTCACACTTTTAACAAATTCTACTCTGAAATATTAATTAGGGGGAGAAATCCATTCTATTTTGTTATTATAATTGATAGGTATATATACTATAGCCTAAAAAATAAAGCTATTCTCTTGAAAAGAACACTGCTGGGTTCATAACTAGAAGGTGTGTGTGTGTGTGTGTGTGTGTGTGTGTTTGTGTGTGTGTGTGTATCTGTGTGTAGTATATGCATGCTGGGATACATATTCATGGCTGTAGATGCATAGGTTAATATTTCTAAAGAAAGTAAAATAAAAACTGGTGTTTTAACTTAAAGAGTTTTACTTTAATTAGTTAAAATGAGCAAATTTCTGTGGTAGATTCTGGGTATGCAGAATTACTTGTATTTTTGATCTGCCTCTCCCTGATGATTAGTGATGTAGAGCATTTTCTCATGTACCTTTTTGCCATTCACATTACTTCTTTGAGAAAGTTTCTGTTCATTTCATCGCCCCATTTTTTTGATGGGGTTGGATGTTTTCTTCTTGCGAAGTTCAACCAGTGCTTTGTATGTCCTTGATATCAACCCCTTGTTGGATGGGTATTGGGCAAATATCCTTTCCCATTCTGTAGACTGTCTTTATATTTTGGTCACTGTTTCTTTTGAGGTGCAGAAGCTTCTTAGTTTAAGATAGTCCCATTTGTCTATCGAAGTTTTCAGTTGCTTGGCCAGTGGTGTGTCATCTTTGAAGATACCATTAGCTTCAGTGTCATGGAGGGTTTTGCCAATTTGTCTTCACTGTACCTTATGGATTCCAGTCTGATGTTGAAGTCTTTAATCCATTTTGATCTTACTTTTGTACATTGTGTTAGGCAGAGATCTGAGCCCATTTTTTTGCATGTAGCTGTCCAGTTTTCCAGCATAATTTGTTAAATTTCCTTGCTCCACTTCACTTTTTTTGCCCCCTTATCAAAGATTAGATGATCATATGTTTGGGGGGAGATGTTAGTATATTCAACCCTGTTCCATTGGTCTGCAGCTCTGCCTTTTTTCCAGTACGATGCTGTTTTAATTATTACTGCTTTGTAGTAGAGTTTGAAGTTGGGGAGGTTGATTCCTCCCACCCATTTTCTTTTTCCCAAGAATTGCCTTAGCTATTTGTGGGGACTTATTGTTCCGTATGAATTTCAGGAGTGTTTGCTCCATTTCTTTGAAGAATGTCATGGGTATCGTTATAGAGATCACATTAAATTTGTACAATGCTTTGGTAAATATTGCCATTTTGACAATGTTAATTCTCCCGATCCATGAGCAGGGGATATCTATCCATTACCTCGTGTCCTCTTTTATTACCTGAAGTAACGTTTTATAGTGTTCTTTGTACAGATCTTTTCTTTCTTTAGTTAAGCTGATTCCTAGGTATGTGAATGGGATTTTTTCCTGTCACTTTCTTCTCTCTCATTATTTGCGTATAGGAAAGCCATGGACTTTTGGGTATTGATTTTATAGCCTGCAACTTTACTATACAAGTCTGTGGTTTCTAGGAGTTTCTTGGTAGAGGTTTTAGGGTTCTCCAAGTATAGTATCATATTATTTGTGAAACAACAATGACATACCATCTCACACCACAAAGACTGGCCCACATCCAAAAGAACAAAAGCAACCAGTGTTGGCGCGGATGTGGCAAGAAAGGGACCCTCCTTCACTACTGGTGGGAATGCCGACTAGTTCAGCCCTTTTGGAAAACAATGTGTACTATTCTCAAAAAATTAGAAATTGAGCTTCCATTTGATCCAACAATACCTGTCACTGTCACTGTCCTCCCATTGTTCATCGATTTGCTCGAGCGGGCCCAGTAACGTCTCCATTGGAGACTTTGTTGTTACTGTGTTTGGCATATCGAATACATCACGGGTAGCTTGCGAGGCTCTGCCATGCAGGCGAGATACTCTCGGTAGCTTGCTGGGCTCTCCGGGAGGGGCAGAGGAAACGAACTCCTGGGAATATATCCTGGAGAGGCAAAAAAGTACAGTCAGAATGACATTTGCACTTCTATTTTCATTGCTGCTTTGTTCACAATAGCCAAAATTTGGGGGGAAAAAACCCAGAGTGCCTGAAAACAGATGACTGGATAAAGAAACTTTGTGTACATCTACACAATAGAATGCTATGCAGCTTTAGGAAAGATGAAGTCACGAAATTTACATACTAGTGGTACTACATGGAAAGTGTCATGCTAAGTGAAATGAGTCAGAGAGGGACAGACAAAAAGATTGCATTCATCTGGGGAATATAATGTAACAAAATAGTAGACTAACACCCAAGAATAACCAAGATAAGTACCAGGAGGTTCACTCCATGTTTTGGAGACCAGCCGCACATGCTAGGGGAAATGGCAGCTCAGATAGAGAAGGGAGCATCAAATAAAGGGTTGAGAGGATCATCCCAGGATGGGAGATGCATGCTGAAAGTAGACTATAGACCGAACATGATTGCCACTCAATGCCTCTTTTGCAAACCACAGCACCCAAAAGGAGAGAGAGAACAAAAGGGAATGCCCTGCCACAGAGGTGGGTTTGATGGAGGAGATGGGGGGATAAGAATGATACTGGGATCATCAGAGGTGGAGAATGGGCACTGGTGGAGGGATGGGTCTTGATCATTGTATAACTGAAATCCAAGCACAAAAATTTGTAAGTCTACAACTGTACCTCATGGTGTTTCACTAATAAAAATTTATAAAAAGAATTACTTGTATTTTTGGCAGTGGTATTGATACAAAAGAGCAGTGACTATCTCCAAGTTAAAGTGATAAGTCTGCTTAACTAGTATGTGATTTATTGAAGGAGCCATTGTTTGTGATGTCAATTGTTAATAATTGTTTTGGATTCTTCAGGTTTTAAAAGTGATCATGTATTGGCACATCTCCATTGCAGGGTTTCCCACAGATATAGAGTTTTCCACATCTTAACTTGAGTAGTGTAATTCATTTCTTTAATGTCATGGGCTCTCTCAGCTTTCTCCTTTCTGGAGAAGCCCACATTTTCTCTTGAACATATTTCTCTCTCTCTCTCTTTCTCTCTCTCTCTCTCTCTCTCTCTCTCTCACTCTCACTCTCACTCTCTTTCTCCCTCCCTGTATTCCATAAATAAAACTTTTATTTTACTTTAGAAAAAAAAGATCATATTTTGCCAGTAATTATATCTTTGTGAATACCAGGGAAATAGAAGCATAAAAATAAGTTAATTAGCTTGGAAGAAAAAGGGACAGAAATACAACTGTAAGAAATGAGTTCTGAACTATTTTTCAAACACGGGAAGTACCTGATTAGAAATTCATATAATTAAAATTCTCATACTTGATTTGCTGAGCCGAACATTCATAAGACTTATTTGCCCCATAGCTGTGAAGTAGCAGTTTTTCAAGATTTTCCGCCCTATATCTCTTTAGTGTTTAAATACTCATCTTGGGTCTTGTCTGCTGCCTTTGACTTCATTGCCTTGGATTGTCAACTTTCAAGCTAGGCCCTGTTTTGTGATTTTCTTTCTTATATTTTCTGTAGGTTAAAGTATACTCTGTTAGTCTGAATTTGCAGCAAATTGTACCACCCAATTTTGTTTTTTCACTTCTTACAAGGATTAGTGATTAAGGACCCTAGTTACTTTCAAGAAAAGTTAGGAATGTTTTTTTAGGAGCCAGTGCAAAGACTTGGGGCAGGTGTTCCCCTGCTCTGTTGGGGGAAGCAACAAGGTGACTGGTGAAACCAGGCTGACGTGAGAGGAACATCAAGGTAAAGGGCATATTTTTTTAATTGCTGCTTGTGGAGCCTAAGGGCATTTTAAATTTTTTTTTACTTTGGTGCTGGGGATGATCAGATCTAGATCACACACATAGGCAAGTGCTCCACCACTGAGCTACATCAATAGCCCAGGAATGATTTTATTTGTAACAAAAACGCAGTGTGTGACTTTATGTGTGAAACCTCTGGCATCTGTTCACTGGCTTTAAGTTTTGGAGTGCTGGCTTTTCTATAGTTTTCTTTGCATTTTCCAATGGTGGCAGAAATTTAGGCTGCAAAATGGTTATTCCAGTTCTAGTACTCAAAATTGCATTAAGGTAGGGTGGTAAGGGAAAGGAAAGCTCCTGTCCTGTCAGTGATGACTATTTCATCTCTAAAAATAAAATATTTCACAGGGCATCTCCCTTCCAACAGTCTAAAATAGACAATGCCCAAACTTTGTTACGTAACCATGCTAAACTGCAGAAAGGCTGACAAAGTAAGCATTTAGTTTGTCTAATTTATATAGTGAAAAGCAGCAGGAAGAAGGGACTGCAAATTAAGCAGGCCCTCCAACTCTGCTTGTAGCAGAAATGGGAAAATAAAAATCATCTTTTACAGAGGAAGGATGTAGTGATACTTAGGCCTTTTTTTTTTTTTGGCTGGGGCGGAGTGGGCATGGGGGGTGGTATTGAATCTAATATCTCAACAGTAAGTTCTTAGACATTGTGACTTTAAGCA